TGTAAGAAATTATTAATACAGCCACGTTTCAGGAGGTTTGTTCAGTACCTGTAGGTGTTTTAACTGCTCCTGGCTCATTTGCAAAATTAAATGAAGTCTAAAGAGGTAAAAACATTTGGTTCAGTGGTTAAATCCATCTTCACAAATGTCAACGCTCCAAGTCCTCATAGAGAAAATTCATGGTTTGAACTGAAGTTTAAATGATTTCAAGGGTGTTTCTGTGAAAGAATTATGAACAAACATTATCTTACCTGTTGTAGATAGCACTTTGAACTTCCTCAGCTTGCAGAAAAAAGGACTGTTTTGAGATATTTCATGAATCTTTGGACAAATTGGAATGAAACACAAAAACTAACCACTGGATGCACATTTACTACTTATTAACGTTTGCTGTTAAACTGCTTCAAGATGGCTGCCACCTTAGCAAATGGCTCTAGGTCAGTCGGTTTTACTGATATTCAGCTAAAATTTGGCGTGGTAGTAGCTGTGAGTCATCCCCAACACTGACTATGAGGGCTAATGGATCACACAACTCTGGCACGCAATCCTTCAAAGAACTGTTAGTTTTAACCGGAATACCGTTCAACACTTCAGTAAGAAGAAAAAGTTTATCTTAATGTGAAAAACACATCAAAAGAATAAAAACACATTATTAAAAGACAAAAACAAAAAATCACCAGTGACTGAAACATTCAGACAGAACTTCTGAAATAAGCCAGATGTTTTGAGGATTTTCTAAATTAGCTCCTGAGGAATATTGATGTGGGGCAGCTGCCTCGGACACAGACAGATTATTCTCTGCTTAATGGCTGCAGATTAACAATGAGTTTCTGTTCCTTCAGTGTCCGCACGTGGAGCAGGACTAATGCACAGAGTGGGAGCCATCTGGGGGGCGTAGCAGGAGTTGGATGCAGAACAACTTTTTAACTGAGAAGACGGAAAATGAGATGGAGGATCATCTGTGTACGGCAGTTTTTCCCTTCTCAGAATGTTTTTAATTAAAGTGCTTTAACACCTCTCCACTGGCCCCTTAGTGACCCAAATCCTCCGAGGATGAATCCTCCCACGGGGCTGCTGCTCTCCGAGCTCGATCTACATCTGTTTTGGACTCCCAGGTGAACTGGACTCTTGTCCTCGCAGGGTCACCCTCCATCTGTCCGCACGAAGCAACAAAACAACAGCGTTTTCTTCTAAAAGCTCCACGTTTCAGAGCGAAAGCTTCAGGTTGGTGTGTCACTGGGAGAACAATCACCATTAAAGCAAACATAAGTCGTTTGTGTTTCGAATAAATGTTGCAAAGACCGAATACCGGAAATGAGAATGCTTTAATCCACTGAGCTGTGTTGGGATGCTGTCATTGGTCTGCTGCGTGCAAGCTCCCTGCACGGCCCTCGCCTTTATGGCACACACACTCATAAACACACGCACACACATGACCACGCACACACATGACCACGCACACACAGGCACACCCCCATCCTCTCTGTGATGCGTCCGTCTCTGTAACTGTTAATCCAGCTGCCTCTGAGCATTGTCGTACGTTTTATTGCAATCTGATGAATTCCCAACGGATGACAGAAAACGTCAGATTTTAAAACAACTTTGGGTTTCTGGACAGCAGCTTGTGGACCTGAGGTGGACCAGAGGTGGACCTGAGGTGGACCTGAGGTGGACCAGAGGTGGACCAGAGGTGGACCTGAGCTCCACGGGGCTCTGCTGAAGCCGACGATGAAGGCCCGTCCAGCGCTGCTGCCCTTCGCCCTCTGCCTCGGTAAGAACGCTCCTGTGCTCTCTAGATGTTTGTTCTGGACTCTCTGGTGGACGATTTCAAGTCTTATACGCTGTTGAAGGTTTTTATTTCGTATTATTTAACTGGGTTGGCTCAGAGTAAAGTGGTCTGAAGGGGCTGAGAAATGTTAAAAATCTCTGATCTGAAACGAAGGAGGAAAAGTTATTTTGTTTTTATAAAACACATATAAAGAAACAAACATTGTTTGTGTCTCTGCTGTGTGTGTATATGTGTACATAAGCCCAAAATGTTACTATTAAATTGTGTGGAGTTGTGTGGAAGTGCAAAACTGACAACAACATAAAGATTGAAAAAAAAAAAACACTTTGGAGTGAGCTAAACGATCAAAACTCAGGTCATTCAAAGATTTATCTACAGCAGGTAGGATGTTAATTGTTCATAACAATTCAACAAAACTCACTGATGTATTCCTCGAAGCTTTAAAGTTGGTCTTTTAATTGGATTTGTACTTTTGTGTCTGTTAGAATAAACTATGTTCTCACAGATTCATGAAGATCTCATCGTTTTATTCTTTTGATTCAGCGTCTTGGAGCTCGCATGGACTAAAACAGAAAATGTTCAACACGCTGAGGACAAAACCTCACGAGTTAAAACCCAAACCTCCTCAACTACATAAAAACTTTGACAGACAGAAATTCGTGAAACGACAGCAGAAAGTGCTCCTCCAGCTTTGAAAAGCTGCTGCCACCACCCGGAGACATTTTCCCCAAAGGTTTTATCCTCTAATGTGCATCTAAAGAATAAATATGAGCTGATCAATGTGCTCAGACAGCCTGTAGATGATTTGTCCTTCACAGATTTGGGCTTTGTGGCTGTATAATCTGCCTGGATGAATGGAATTACAACATATTTCTGTATTTGTTTGATCCATCTTAGCACCAGATGGGCCGTGTTTCTATAAACACCAACTTTCACATGTGTGTGTGTGTGGATGCTGCAGTTTTGTTCTCCTGTGTGTTTGGACAAAATGATCTTGATTTAAAGTGAGAATCTGTTTTCCTCTCGTGTTTTCTTCTGCAGCTTTGGCTCCTGTGTGTTTCGGAGCAGCGATCCCGATTGCGTGCAGCTCCATCTACAAGAGCTTCGCTCAGTGTTTGCTCACTCTCGGGGACAGTTTGGTGGAAACACAAAAAGAGCAGGACACTCAAGACATTGACTCAGTCTGCAGGTGTGTGTTACGTGTAAACCGTTCACTCAGACTCGTTTCATTTTGACTCAACTTACACTTGATGGTTTGAACTAACAGCTAGAAATTAACTTTTACGGTTTGTGACCTGCACATTTTTTGGTCTGGTCTTCATTTTCTGACGCTGCAGGCAGCTCCTCTTCTTTTTACACAATATTTAATGAAAGGTTCATCTAATGTTGCAACTCTAAAGGAGTTTCTATTCTGGCATCTATACTTGAAGCATGATGATGCCAGCAGAGGCGCCTACAGAAAGTCTCACAGAGGGGGCCAGATGGGGGGGCCACTGTTAATTTTAGGGTGGCACCCTGAAACCAAAAGCTGTGACAGTCTTTAAGGATTTTTATTACTCACTTCTGTTTTGCCTATAGAAAATAAATACTTTAATATGAGAGGTGAAGAATTGGCCTCTTACTGCTGGGTTGTCAGAGTAACACTGAATATAAATATAATATTTAATTTTATGTTTAAGAAAGGAGGGATGGGGTGCATTAGGTCTGTTTCTGATAGAGCATCAGTCTTCTAACTTTCTAACACCTCAGCAAATACAGAACTCCTCCATTATGACAGGCTTTAACTCCGCTTGGGTCAAAAAGGGTTAAACGCAGCAGTAACGTTCACATGAAACTGAACAAATCATCAGCTGTTTACCTACCTGGATGAAATAAATACAGTTTGTATTGCGTCCTATGTCAGAATCACCAGCAGCGATTCACCTGCGATGCTCTCTTGGGCGGCCTGATAGTTGAGGCCACCCTCACCCACCCTCACCCACCCCACATGCATACGTTTGATGTCATCTGTATGGTGCTTTTTTGTGCCGAGGTTGTTTTTGCAACTTTCACACTGTGTCCTGTTTTTTTTTTTACCTTCACTTTCCTCATGTTCCCTTTTCCTAATCTAATGAAAAGGGCAGCGCCTCTCATGAGTCTGCAGCCTCAGGCACCCGTCTACCCATGACGTTATTTGTGTTTCTTTGGACGGGCTGTACTGAAATGAAATATCATTGTGTTTCTGTGCAATGAAAATAAATTCTGATTCAGCATCTTTCTACTTTTTGGAAAATATTTAAAATGACACAAAGCTTCATTATTTGGTAGTTTTTTTTCTCCACAGAAGAACAAGTTTTATTTCTTTGGCTACGTGTGCCATCACAGAAGGGAGTAGAAGACTGGCAGTCTTACTTGAAACACTCCTGCACAGAAAACTAAAAATAGTTTTCAAAATTTGCCATTCTATGTCCATTAATTCTGCATGTTTAGGTTTAAATATGCTTATTTTGCTCATCATTCTGGAGAGGAGGGTCCGTCGGATAGTCGAACCTCGGATTCAGGAGGAGCAGTGCGGTTTTCGTCCTGGTCGTGGAACACTGGACCAGCTCTACACTCTCAGCAGGGTCCTGGAGGGTGCGTGGGAGTTTGCCCATCCGGTCTACATGTGCTTTGTGGACTTGGAGAAAGTGTTCGACCGCGTCCCTCGGGGAACCCTGTGGGGGGTACTCTGGGAGTATGGGGTACCAGGCCCTTTGATACGGGCTGTTAGGTCCCTGTATGACCGGTGTCAGAGCCTGGTCCGCATTGCCGGCAGTAAGTCGGGCTTGTTCCCAGTGAGATTTGGACTCCGCCAAGGTTGCCCTTTGTCACCGATTCTGTTCATAACTTTTATGGACAGAATTTCTAGGTGCAGCCAAGGTGTTGAGGGGATCCGTTTTGGTGGCCTTAGGATTGCATCTCTGCTTTTTGCAGATGATGTGGTCCTGTTGGCTTCATCAGATCGTAATCTACAGCTTTCGCTGGAGCGGTTCGCAGCCGAGTGCGACACGGCTGGGATGAGGATCAGTTCCTCCAAATCCAAGGCCATGGTCTTGAGCTGGAAAAGGGTAAAGTGCCCTCTCTGGGTTAGGGAGGAGGTCCTGCCCCAAGTGGAGGAGTTCAAATATCTTGGGGTCTTGTTCACGAATGAGGGAAAAATGGAACGTGAGATCGATATGAGGATAGGTGCAGCATCTATGAGCTTTGGGTTGTGACCGAAAGAACGAGATCTCGGATACAAGCGGCCAAAATGAGTTTTCTCCGCAGGGTGTCTGGGCTCTCCCTTAGAGACAGGGTGAGAAGCTCGGTCATCCGGGAGGGACTCAGAGTAGAGCCGCTGCTCCTCCACTTCAAGAGGAGCCAGTTGAGGTGGCTCGGGCATCTGGTTAGGATTCCTCCTGGACGCCTCCGTGGTGAGGTGTTCCGGACACGTCCCGCCGGGAGGAGACCCAGAGGAAGACCCAGGACACGCTGAAGGGACTATGTTTCTCGACTGGTCTGGGAACACCTCGGAGTCTTGGTCGCCTTGGACGCCTTGGGCGTGGCTGGGGAGAGGGAAGTCTGGGCCTCCCTACTTAGGCTGCTACCCCTGCGACCCGACCCCGGATAAGCGGAAGAAAATGGATGGATGGACATTTTGCTCATTTGTTGCAGCGAATGTTGCCACAGACTGCTCACTCTGAACCACAACAACTGAATCCAAGTTGAAGATAAATTGAATCCTTTTTTATTATTGCTGGCAGGTCTTGTGAAACGTCCTTAAACTTTAAATTAAACACAGATAAACTCATGTTTTGTTCTCCAGCCTGAAAGATGCTCTCTGCAAATGCCCACAGAGCTGCTCCCATCACATTCCTGCACCAACATCTCTTCTTGCTCTGGTTCCTTACAGGTCCTGGAACGAGTTTCATGTCTGCGCCAACTCGGCCCTGGCTGGTTGTCCCGGGGAGGCAGCAGCCATCTGGGAGTCCCTGAGACAGGAGTCCAGGAAGACGCAGTTCTCTGGGAACCTGTACGCCATGTGCGCCAGCCGCACCACCCTCCCCTCCAGCACTCCACCCGCTCCTCAGAGCTCTCCCACCTCTGACCAGACCAACCAGGAGACCCTGAAGGGTCGGACGCAGAGGAGCGGCCCGGCCTCCATCACGCTGTTGATCCCGGCGCTGCTCGCCCTCCTGAGGAGCTAGTCCACCCACAAAGAGACTCTCATGCAGCCTGCTTGAACTAGAGATGCTACTTGTCTGAGACGGAGTGTTGTCTACGAGAAATGAACTGTTGTTGACGATGCAGTCATAATTTTGTTCTCATGAGATCTCAACCTGAATCAGTTTTCTGGGCACCTGAAGCAATAAATGTTTCACCTGAGGGACGACGGCTGCTCGTCTGTTTGCTGCTCAAACACAGTCAGGTTCATCATGGGCACTAATCAACCAGGGTTTTATGCAAATAATACGTTTTTCTTCCAGTTACTTTGACTTTCTGGAAGTCTGTCAACTGGTCTCATTCATCAGTTTAGTTTTTTTTTTTTTTTTTGGGGTCAAGGATTTTCTGAGAACTTTGTCTGTTTTTTTATTTCAGTTTTCGTTCCTGACTACCAGCCTGCACAGAAATATTTAAAGCAAAACTTTCCTTAAACAAATGTATAGAAAAGTGTTGGTACACATCGGTCTGCAGGGTATTTTACCTAAGAAAACTACAACTTTTAATTCTGTTTCCTGTGTTTGTCTAAGTCCCTGTAAGTTGGGAACGTTTTGTCGTATGAAGCCGATCAAAAAAAACAAACAAAAAAATTGTTTTAAGCCACTTTGTACGAATCTTTGACTCCCAAGAGGGCATTTGATAAACCTGCGTTATTTTGGCACGACTGTAAAAATAATATATATATTTTAAATCTTTAAATACTTTAAGTGAAAGGTTTTTACAGACAGTTTCTCCTTTTGTTTCTAATATTTCGTTGAATCAACAAAAAATACCAACAGCATGCAGCAGATGTAAAGTAGTTTAGCTCCAACAAAGTGATGGCAAAGAGCTGAAAGCTGGTCGTACAGTAAACGATCAGCTGAAGGTCGAGGCGTATTTCAGCTCCTGTGTCGGTTCTTTCATGGATTTTCTTCTGGTTTCTCAAAGACTTTCAGATTCATCTCTGACAGATGATCTGAAGCTTGTTAGATGTCCTGTTTCCTCAGAGGCAGAACCAACACATGGGTGTATTTTTGGCGTCAGATTAGGCCTGTCACGATAACAGATTTTGCTGGGCGATTATTTGTCTCAGAAATTATTGCGATAAACGATAATATTGTTTGAAATTTAAGAAGAAATGTTGGTTAAATTGTTTTGTGTGTAGTACCTATTTTCGACCACTGGATGGCAGTATAAGACTGTTTGAACCAAAGGATGGATAGTGAGGGAACGAGCAGCGTGTCTCTTTAAGAAAAATTGGATGCAGGCCCCTTGACGTGACATGGGCTGTTTCTCCTACCTTTTTTCGGTTCTCAAAATGGCGGACGCTCAGTGTGGTTTGAGCTCTTTAGCATAGCATTTGCCACACAAAGCTTTTAATAAAAATTAAAAAAAAAAAATCAGTAAACAAGTTCTCAACTTCTTTTTGCAGAGAAAAACAACTTTTTACACAAAGGCACAGGTTTCAACCGTGAATTTTGGAGTTTCGACAAGACGGAGTTTTTTTTTCCTGAGGTCGGCCTCGTAGCTTAGCTCGTAGCTTAGCTGCATTTAACGATCCAAAAACGCGATTTTGGACGGTCAAAACAGATTTTAAAGAGAAAACAGAAAGGGCGGGGTCAGTGAGGAGCGCCAGAGTTGAGCCTTTTGTCATCCAGTGTCTTCAGTAGAAAGAGAGACACGAAGAAACAATAAAGCTGATAAATGAAAAAGGTAAATAATTTTCATTTATCATGCGATTAATTGATTTATTATCGTGACAGGCAGATATTCTGACTTCATACTGGAAGTCATACTGTTTTGGCCGAGTACAACGCCAGGACTGAAAAGTGGGAAAAAAGCAGCCAAAATAAAAAATAAAAAACCTTTTGAACATCTTCAGAAGTCCTTGTCTTAGAAAGATAGTAAAACAAATACGAAATGTGACATCACGAGGATATTTCTGTAATTTAGACCCATTGTGCTTAAGTCACTGCTTTTCATTTGATCAGTAAGCTCATTTTTAAATAATCTAACACTTTTCTGACATTAAGTTTTGCCACTTCACCTTACGTTGATTCACAAACCAGCGAGAGCTTAATTAAAGGAGTGGTTCGTTTGAGTTTATTTGAGTTTAATACACTTAAATCGTTTCATAACAGCCGATTCACAAGTCCATTTGTCATGGAGCTGCAGGTTTCACCTTCAAAACCTTCAAAAGCACCTGACTTCCTCTGAGGTGAGTGGGAGGAGTAAAAAAAGAGCCTCTTGTTGTGACCTGAAGGAGGAGCATGATGTCAGCAGGTGTGACTGGAGAGGGTCAAAGGTCAAATCACTGATAGGAAACATCTTACTTTATTTTCTCCTGTCAAAACCTGCAGACGTCAAGATAATCAGAATATTGCTGATTCACAAATTAGGAAAGTTCACAGATGGTTTAAGGAGTTATGTGTTTAAATTTAGGATTCGTCGACAAACTTGCATCGGTCTTTTAACATTCATTCAACGTTTATTAATACAGGTTAGTCTCGTTGAGTCACGAGGATTCATTTACAAGAGAGACCTGTTTTAAACAAAGAACGCAGACGAAGTACAGACAACGATAAACAGTCATATAAAAGTGCATAAAATGAAAAGTAAAATAAAAGAAATGGTATAAAACAAAATAAAAACGATCTGTAAAATACTAAAAACAGGAACAGGTCTGCACTGATTTTTGCATTGAACAGCACATGGACCAAAAGTGAGAAGCTGACCTATCAATCACATTGATTATGGTGAGATAAGAAATTTAAAGCCAAGAGAGCGTAATTTAATCAGTGTGTTTGTGTAAAACAAAATGACACGTAAAGGGACAGCGAGGACAAGCAAACCTCCTCACTTTAGTGTCGAATGTGTCCCCTTTCTGTGAAATGCTCCACAGTCAAAAGAAGCCCGTGAGGGTGTGTGGGTCTATATAACCAGGATTCAGCACTTTTCCTCTGAGGAGACCTCGTCTCTGGAGCTGCGGGAGTGGAAGCTGACCCGGTGTCATGGAGGAGCTGGCCCGGGAGAGCATCAGCCTGCTGACCCGGTCTGCGTCCCACTCCGACCCGCCGGGACTCGGCTCGTTCGGGGCCGTGTTCATCATGCTGAAGTCGGCTCTGGGAGCCGGACTGCTCAACTTCCCCTGGGCCTTCCAGAAGGCAGGAGGGGTGACGGTGGCCGTCAGCGTGGAGCTGGTGAGAATCCTGACAATTTCTTTCTAAACTTTCCGTGGAAAATGTAAAACTTTCAGCTGATTTTTAACAAACTGATCAAACCTGGAGCTGTAACAAAGAAAGACTAGTTTTGATTAAAGCTGCGTCCGTCTCTTCCTGGTGTGAAATATTTCTCACAGGTGAGCTCTAATGAAGCTTCTAGTTTCTGTCAGGACCTCATGCTCTTCACCTGACTGCTTTCCAAGAATGAACACGAGTGTTCGTGGTCACATAATGACGCAATTACGTCCCTGTAAAAAAAAAAAAAAAAAACTCACAGAAGTTTGAATTGGTCTGATAACTCGGCTGCTGTCAGAAACATTAATTTGCTCCTCACACTCGCTCTGTTTTAGATTATTTTTATTTATTCCTGCAAGTTTATTATTCAGCTTTTGTTGTGGAAAGTTCAGAAAATTTGATCATTCAGTTCATCAGAAAAGTACGGAAGCCAGAAGAGGCCATGCTTAAGGATGCGTTCTGATAACATTATCTTACGTTTTCTTACCTTTTTATGTTGGGATAAAAAGGCAATTTTGTAGCGATAACAATTTGATTACACTGGAAAAACTATGCTTTTCACAAAAAAAAAAGTTAATTTTTTTTGGTTTGACCTAAAAAAGTATTTTTTCCCTTAACTTACAAAATCACAAACAACAAAATGCGTCTGCATCTATCAGGACCGTCATGCTGATCCATGACATCGAAACGCTTTCAGCAAACAACGCATGACTCGACTTTCTGTTACGAATCGTCTCAAACGCAACAAAGATCATTAAAACTGGAGCAAGGCAAGAAACATTCAACGTCTTCTTGATAACGTGTTCAGCTGTCTCAGGAACAGAACAGCTTATTTAAAAGATGGAGAACATTTCTTCAGAACGTGTAACTGCAGACATGGCACTACTCAGCTTCCGGGTCATGTTCAGATTGAATTGATTTTTATTTGTGTTTGTCATCATTCTGCAGAATACTACGCTACCCTGAAGCCCCGCGCTAAGTGAAAAACTTTATTATACTATTTACATTTCTTGGAATGTTCTAAACTCTTAAACCTACTAATTTTAACAACATACAGTACTTATATGTACAAGAGCTACAAAATTTTACTTACCAGGCTCTGCAGTACAGGAGCGGACTTGGTTCCGGTCCGACCCGATAGATGAAAAAAGTCCATACAGCATGACGGAAGCCCACTGCTCCATCCAGCTTGATGTGCACGTGCTGCTGCCCAGAATTTAATCCACCACCTCTGATCTGATCCGGACCAGCACCGTGCGACCAGAACCTGACTGAACTGTGCAGCCGTCTGCAGCTCCCAGGACCCGGGTCACAGTGAGTCCAGATCAGCTGCAGCCCAGCTCTTCAGCTGTGAAGCTACAACTTGAAGGACGAGTTCAGCTTCATGATTATTTGTGACTTTCCTGCCAGTCCTGTGAGCAACAGAACTTTTACAGAACTTCTGACTTTGCTGCAAAACGCTCCCTCCATTTGCAGCAAGCAGCCAGTGTTGACTTCTGGGAAGTTACCTGATGGCTTCTGGGTAACGTAGTTCTTTAGACTGGAAAACCAGTGAAGGCTTAATAAAAGAAAACTACAAAATGGCACCACTTAAAAAAATATATTATGTACATTTACACTGTACTTAAACAAAACCGCGACCGAGCGAGTCCGTGAAAAACGAACCGTGAAGTAGCGAGGGACTTCTGTATTCTGATTTGTGTTCTCTTGTCAGTTTCACAAATCTTTAGTGTTTGACTTGTTTCTGATCAGGATCCCTTCCTGCAGAGTTTGGTGTTGTAAGTCATGGCCTTCTTTTTCTAAAATTGTTTTGTCTTGAACTGATGGCTACCTTTTAAACTCCTCTCTTCCCTGCAGGTATGTCTGGTGTTCCTCATCAGCGGACTCGTCATCCTCGGTTACGCGTCGTCCGTCAGCGGACAGAGAACCTACCAGGACGTGGTGAGGGAAGTGTGCGGACGAGCTGCCGGACAGCTCTGCGAGGTCTGTTTCTGCTTCAACCTGTTCGTGATCAGCGTGGCCTTCCTGGTGGTGATCCAGGACCAGCTGGAGAAACGTGAGACAGCACAACTTTTCCAGAAAAAACTAATTTCACTGGTGCATTTGCAGCTAGATCTACTGTTTTTGTTCCATGTTGTTAAAGAAATACATCAATTTATCCTAAAAATCACAGATCAGCCTTCTAATTTTCTTTAGGATCAGCTCTAACATGCAAATAAAACCTAGATTTTCTTCTCAGTTGTCTTTTAATGTTCTGCCATTTTGAAATCCTTTAAAATTGTATTTTGTTCCATTTCACTTTTAAATTAAGCTTTTGATTGGATTTACAACCTTTCCCACTCGCACCCTTATAATAATCCTCCAAACAAAACTCGGCTGGCGCCTGTAGTGGGGTCTCTTCGAGGACAGAAAGCTCAAAATGTGTTCAGAGGATTCTCCGAGAATAAAAACTACAAGTCCTAACTAGTGCTGCGTGTTTTTGTGACTCGTTGTTTCCAGTGTGCGTTTCTTTATACGAGGTGGCGACGGGATCGAGCGAGGCAGAAATGCCTCATCACTGGTACACCGACCAGCGCTTTGCCCTCTTCATCATGTGTCTCTTCATCATCTTACCACTGTCCATCCCGAAGGAAATCGGCATCCAGAAGTACACGAGGTAAACCAACTGTTCTGAATGTTGGAGGAACACCCAAGCCAGAGGAAAGGTCTAACCGTTTCTCTTCGTGTCAGTGTGTTGGGGACGCTGGCTGCGACGTATCTCTGTGTTGCAGTGGTCGTTAAGTATTACCTGATGGACAGCCACACAAGTTTAATAACTCCACAGCACAGCCAAGGGTCAGTATCTCCAGGTTTTAGCAATGTGTGTGTGTTGATCATCTGTTTATTGTCTCGTCTTCTGTGTGCGTTTCAGGCTGAGCTCATGGGCGTCCATGTTCAGCGTCGTACCAACCATTTGCTTTGGCTTCCAGGTAGGATCCGATGCACACGCTCACTTTAGGTTTTATCTGTTTGCCTTCCAGGGTTCTCATCACATTATTTCACCTTGAAAGAGTTCCCTTTTTATCAAGGTGTTACGATAATAAGAAACTCACTGTGACCTAAAACAGTTTGAAATCAGCATATACCTTTACTGAAACAAAGAAATACAGGCTTTTTTTGGATGCTCATGCACTTCATCAGGTTGTTCATGGAAATAAAATACTCACAGTACAGGTTCAATAATGTTTAAACCCAAACCTTTGGTCTGAAGTGTCAGAAACTGGTTTAAACGTGAACGATTTGGTCTTTCAGAAGGAAAATTACCCGAAGTATTCACCCAACAGCACGGAAAACTGACCGACAAGGACCAAATGGAGAGTTTTAAACTGACCACCAGTAAGATCGGACTAGAATTCACTTCCAGTCTCTAAACACTCGAGACCCGTCGTTGCTTTAGAGCTCGCTGTGCGCTTAAAGCACCCTCAACTCAAGGAATAGCACAACGGCGGCGTGCGAGCAAGAAGCTTGTAGATGGTAAAAATAAATAAAATCCACGGGTGTAAGTCACTGTTACCAAGGGTTAAGTTGGAACTAAAGTAAAACGTTGTCGTTTTTACACATATGGTACTAAAAAAAGTACACGCATTTCTGTAATACAATGTCCGTCCATTATATTTATCTGCTTCTTCCTTTTTGGGTTACGGGGGGTCACTGGTGCCAATGTCCAGCCATCACTGTGCGAGAGGTGGGGGACACCCTGGACAGGTCTCCAGTCCATCACAGGGGCACCTGGACAGGTCTCCAGTCCATCACAGGGGCAGCTGGACAGGTCTCCAGTCCATCACAGGGACACATAGAGACAAACGAGACAAACAACCATTCACTCTCTCTCTCATCTAGGAACAATGTAGAGTCACCAGTCAGTCTAACATGCATGTTTTTGGTCTGTGGGAGGAAACCAGAGTACCCGGAGAGAACCCATGCAATACGGACAGAACATACAAGCTACACCCAGAAAGGCCCCCAGACTGGGATTTGAACCAGGACGACTTGCTCACCGAGAGGCAGCAGTTCTACCCACTGTGCCACTTTACTGCCCTGAAAAAAATACCATGAAATACCATGTCCTAACTCTAAAATTGTTTAGTTTATCGTTCAAAATACTCCTAAAACCAGCAGATGTTTAAGTTACCTCCTTCCAAAACGTGCGTGCATGTGTGTTGCAGTGCCATGAAGCCTGCATAGCGATCTACAGCAGCATGCAGAACCAGCAGCTCCTCCACTGGGTGCTCATCTCTGTGCTCTCCATGCTTTTCTGTTTGCTCGTCTACACCCTCACAGGTGAGTTCACCTGATGGCGTCAGTCCTGCTGGGTGGCGTGCTCACCTGAAAGATGTTCATCATGTCTCCCTCAGGTGTGTACGGCTTCCTGACCTTCGGGCGAGACGTAGCCTCAGACATTCTGCTGTCATATCCAGGAAACGACGTGGCGATGATCATCTCCAGACTTCTGTTTGGGATTTCCATCGTCACCATTTACCCCATCATTCTTCTCCTGGGCAGGTGAGCCTCGTCACAGCAGAGTTTTGTTGAGTTGTGTGATTTTTGTGCGTATGGAAGTGTGTGTTTGTGTAACAGATCTGTCATCCTGAACCTGGTGCTACGAGTTCAGAGACATCGCCGGGGAGTCGTCACTCGCTCGTTCGAGAGTCGCTGCAGAGTTTTGCTAACCGTGGCCTGGATCACCTTCACGCTTTCCATCGCCATGTTCGTGCCAGACATGGCCGACGTCATCAGCGTCATTGGAGGGATCAGCGCCTTTTTCATCTTCATCTTTCCTGGTATGCAGAAACTAGAACAGCGGTTTTCACACGGATATTTACTCTAATAATCTGTTTGATTCCCCCTTTGTTTATTCAAATAACTTTACTAAAGTAAGTGTTGCATTAGTTGGAGACATATGGTCCACATGTGGGTTCAAATTCAACAAGTGTCAAGTCTGAGCTGCACGGTGGTGTGGTGGTTGGTGCTGTCACCAGAAAAAGAAAGGAGGTTGACTGTTCGAATCTCAGCTGAGGCCTTTCTGAATCTCCACAAGCGAACAAGCGTTTTCTGCTGCTGCTTTCCATCCACATTTTAACAACTTGCATCAGAGACACAAACTCACGTGTCAAACTCAAGGCCCACGGGCCAAATCTGGACTTTTAAACATTTTAAAGGGCTCCCAAGATAATATTTTTCATGTATCAGATCTGGGGCAGCACGGTGGTGCAACTGGTAGAGCTGCTGCCTCTCAGCGAGCAGGTCCTTGGTTCAAACCCCAGTCCAGGGGCCTCTCTGGGTGGAGTTTGCATGTTCTCTCCGTGCATGCGTGGGTTTTCTCTGGGTACTCCGGTTTCCTCCCACAGACCAAAAACATGCATGTTAGTCTGATTGGTAACTTTAAATTGTCCCTAGGTGTGAGTGAGAGAGTGAATGGTTGTTTGTCTCTATGTGGCCCTGTGATGGACTGGAGACCTGTTCAGGGTGTACCCCGCCCCTCGCACAGTGATTGCTGGACATGGGCACCGGCGACCCCCGTAACCTATTCTCTTCGTATTCCCCTTCCCTGCTGCCACTTGGTGCTATTTTCCGGAAACACAACATACCCTTTCACTTCTACGCTGATGACTTTTAAATTTACTTCCCCCTAAGACACAATGGTACATGCTCTATAACCGCTGCTTGACTGCCTGGCTGACATCAGGGACTGGATGACTTTAAATGTCTTAAGTTTCAATGAGAAGAAGTCTGAAGTCACGTTGTTCCCTCCCAACGACACGATCATGAACCACTGCATCAACTTTTCCATTCTAGCCCCGTTAGAGAAACAAAGAGTCACAAATCTGGGAGTGATAATGAATCCTTCCATGAAACTCAACAGTCACGTAAACACGATTGTTAAATCATGTTTCTTCCAGTTGAGGCGACTGTCTAAGCTGAAGCCCATATTGTCCAAAGATAACCTGGAGACAGTAATACATGCATTCATAACATCTAGGCTTGATTACTGCGATTCGCTCCTGTTTGGTATCAGTCAGACCTCCATTGCACGACTACAACTGGTCCAGAATGCAGCAGCACGATTTTTAACCAGTCCAGGCAAAAGACAAAGCCAAAACATTACACCAGTTTTGGCCTCCCTGCACTGGCTACCAGTTCACCTTCGAATCCAGTTCAAAATACTCCTGTATGTCTACAAATCACTGAACAGCACCCCCCCCCCCCCCCCCCCCCCATCTCTCTGATTTGCTACAGCTGTATTTCCCACCACGTTCTCTGAGGTCAGTTGCTCCTCACAGTTCCAGGAACTCGTTTTAAGCGCAGAGGGGACAGGGCCTTCTCTGTAGCAGGACCAAGACTTTGGAACGAGTTACCTTTGCTTGTCAGACAGGCCCTCTCGGTTTTCAAATCACGTTTAAAAACCCACTACTATTCAGTAGCTTTCAACACAAGATGATCTGTGTTTTGAACCTGTACGCTCCACACTGGTTAGTCGTTATATTTATTATCTGCAACGTTTTTGTGTCTATATTTTGATTTTATTCCATTTTGTATGTTGCTTTGTGTGTTACGTGTTGTTCTGTCTGTACAGCACTATGGTTGGCCTTGTCGCTGTTTTAAAGTGCTCTATAAATAAAATGGTATGGTAAACTCTCGTTGATCAGTTGCAACAAGAGCTGCAGTTGAGAAAAGACGTCGAGGTACTCTACGTCAAACCAACAGAGAGCCCGCTTTACGAGTCTTTTTCTGTGTTTTCTTGTTTCAACGTCAAACGTTGTTCGGTTTTTATAGTGTGTCGTTTTAAAAAATGTTTCACTAAAACAATACGTGAAAGTTGTTAAAGGGCAAGGCAGAAGAAACAAATAAAAATGTCTTTGTATATTTGATATTTTATTCTTTATTCATAACGTGACCAGAATTCTACATAAAATGTAATTAGGGAAAAGTAATTTTGTATTTATACATGATTAATTTTACATATTTTATGTAAAAACAAGGTTAACTTATTTCAATAGCAATATAATTGGCAGCACGATAGCTCAGTAGTTATCACTGTTGCCTCACAGCAAGAAGGTCCTGGGTTCAATCCCCGGTCGGACCTGGTGTCATTCTGGGTGGAGTTTGCATGTTCTTCTCGTGCTGCGTGGATTTTCTCCAGGTATCCAGCTTCCTCCCATAGTACAAAAACCTGCATGTTAGTCTGCCTTCAGGTCCAGGCCTCCCTTACAAAAGAGATCTGTGATCTCAATGGGATTCGCCTGGTTAAATAAAGGTTAATAAATAAAATAAATAATAAATATTGGCTGTTATTGGCCCTCAGCTAGAACCAACTAAATGTGGTCTCTCTTGTGTAAAGACGTCCCTGCACTGTCTGGACCTGATGTCTGTGCGTGGATGAACCGTGAACTGTCGGTAAAAAGACGAAACATCCAACAGAACTGGTCCAGGTTTTAAAGGCCTCACTGGAAACTTGTAGTTTAAACGTCTTTGGAACAGAAATCTGTTATGATGTCAGGAAACAATATATTCTCAGCCATTATGTGTCATAAATTCAAATTGATGTTCTTATTTATTTAATTATTTATTAACAAATGTCGTCAGCTAAAGGAACGGGCGTAAATTAACCACTGACTACAAGTCCTGTACTTAACTGTGTTCACTTTGTGCAACATTTGTTTTATTTTGTATTTTTCTAGTAAAACGCTAACACTAGTTGGTACTGTACAGACGAATTATAAAGATAAATGCATAATCTTTTCAAACGTTGCGGTGTAATGAAATCACTTTTAATTTGTTTTAATGCTGCAGGTTTATGTTTGATGTTCACGATGCAAACAGAAGAGGTCTCTCCAAGAGTCCGGTGAGTTTTGTCGCGTGGATAAAATCCTGTTGCAACATTTTTATTGTTTAATTATTATGAAGATGTAGGGCAGCACGGTGGGACAGTTGATTGAGCTGCTGCCTCTCAGTAAGAAGGGTACAACGATTCAAATCCCGGTCCGGGGACCTTCCTGGGTGGAGTTTGCATGTTCTCTCCGTGCATGCGTGGGTTTTCTCCGGGCGCTCCGGTTTTTTCCCACAGACTAAAAACATGCATGTTAGACTGACTGGTAACTCTAAACTGTTCCTAAATGAGAGAGAGAGTGAATAGTTGTCTCGTTTGTCTCCATGTGTCCCTGTGATGGACACCTGTCCAGGTGTCCCCCGCCTCTCACACAGTGATGGCTGGACATGGGCACCAGTGACCCCCGCAACTCAAAAAGGAAGAAGCGGGTAAAGATGATGGATGGATGGACAGAAGATTTATTTAACACAAGACAAAAGGGGAAGAGATTAGAGACTCTGCACATGAGTTTATCCACATTCTTGTAAATTAATCTTTTAACTCATTCATCAACAAACCAGACATATTTTCAAAGTGCTCCCACTTTCCACAGTCCAGTTTTCCAACAACAAAATGTCCACACAGATGACCAGTTTACAGAAACACAAAATATTTTTTTACATGTTAGGACAGCAATGATGGTTTATTGCAGGGCTATTCAACTTAATGGCTCGGGGGGGCACAGTTACTGAAAGCAATGAGCTCAGGGACCGGATATCCAGCAGTTATTGTCGTTAAGTTTGTTTTACGGTTTAAAATCAGAATCCTCATCAGGGTAACCAATAATTTACAGATATTTCTGATTTAAAACACAGAAATCAGGATGGATAATTTAATGACTGCTGTTTTCAACTTCATTTTTTTGGTGGGTTTTTCATTTCAGGGCCGTTTTAACAGTTTGGGGGGTCATAACGATCGTGGTCGGGGTGTTCATCTTTGGACAGAGCACCACCATCGCTGTGATGGAGGTTGTCCACAAGTTCTCCTAGTTTCCACCCAGTTCAACCAGCTGCAGCTGGTCTGTGACGCTCACCTCTTCTGAAACAACTGAACTCTCACTTTGTAAAGTGCTTTTTATTTGTACACATAAAAATATATTTGTGTCTTATAGAAAACAGGAAGTGTGATTATATTTTTGTGTGTTTTGTGTAAATCTTAAAGTGAATAGACTGTGTTTTGAACAATAAATTATGTATTTGTTAGATATATTTTAAAAACCCTATATCTTATCTGCTGCAACAGCAACGTGGGAATAATAAATCATGTTTTTGCTCATCTCCACTAGGGGGCAGTATTGCATCATTTAAAAAAAGTATTTCATTCCCAACAACAAAACTACATGTATGGAAGTGTTTACTGTTTATTGTGTGGATGTGTTTACTGTTTATTGTGTAGAA